TAGAAGGCTTTACTGATAAATCACTGAGGCCTCCACAAATTCATGCAACCATGAATGTAAGAATTTTGTGGATCTGCTCTCCAAGATCAAGGACACATCTTACATCAGCATCCAATATTTCTTCTGGTTGCTAATACAGCCTACATGGACATTGTACCTGTACTTGCTATGATGCAGTGTATCTGGGCGGGGGGGGGCGGGGGGGAAGTCTCTCCTGAAGTGAGAATTTCAGATAAGCAAGAGCAGGTCAGGTTCTATGTTTTGCCTAACTAAAGGGCAAATCAGGGTCTGGGCAATTCCCTGTCAGCGTTGTTTGTGCAGGTGTCTAGAGGTTTTGGTATTAGCAATAGGCAATATTTCATCCATAACTTATGCATTATAAAATCCAAACATTATGAAATACGGATACTAAAGGAAAGATAAGAGCTGCTGCTGATGTAACAGAAGAGGAGAACTGAACCTGCTATTTCCCAGAGTATTAGCTCTCCACTACTACTGGAGGTAAAAATGCTTTTCATTTTAATCTTGAATGGAGTCTATAGCTATAGGACAAATAAATAAGGGGAGAAAAAAACAGAGAGATATTAAAAAACCCTAGAAAACTAAACTAGAGAGAGATATTTTACCATAATCACTGTTAGCTTATATACACATAATTTAACAAGATTTCTTTTAAAAGGTAAGCCACACTAAGTGAGTAGCCATAAATGGCATAAGACACTGGAGGCAACTGGAAATTCCATTATGTCACACATTCTTTATGGTTTTCAATAGATCATGTTGCAAAGGTAGTCTCAGTACTTCATTATTGAAAGTATAGTCTGTAAAGTATGTAAGCTAAGGTATTATTTTAGATTAGCTACAAAAATTTGCCAGTTCTAGTTTCTATTAAAGCCTTGGTTGAAGAAGTATTTGCACTGATTATATGAACTCCCATTTGTTGGCTGTTTAAACAATGTAACTACCAACAAGTAATAGAATATTTACCTGCTCTGTCAGAAGTATAAAAATCAGTCTTAATCTTTGAAAGACAACCAAGTGAATAGGCAACACTGAAACCATTCTCAAAAACAATCTGACTCTTAAGGGCAAACTCTGAGCCCTATTGGCGGTAATAAGCTTATTTAAGCAAACTGATTTTTAAAATTATTCACACACCACACAACACAAAGGAAAAATAGTTATTTCTGTTATATAAAAAAAAAAAGATAAGCGGCAGTTTATAAAAAGATACACAATAAAAAGAGAGATCTGCAATTTCAAAAAAGGTTTGTGCTGGTTTTGGCTTGGGTAGAGTTAATTTTCTTCATAGTATATAGTACGGGGCTATGTTTTGGATTTGTGCTGAAAACAGTATTGACAATACAAGGATGTTTTCGTTACTGGTGAGCAGTGCTTACACAGAGTCAAGGCCTTTTCTGCTCCTCACCCCACCCCACCAGTGAGTGGGCTGGGGATGCACAAGGAGCTGGGAGGGGACACAGCGGGGACAGCTGACCCCAACTGACCAAAGGGATATTCCATACCATATGACGTCATGCTCAGCATATAAAGCTGGGGCAAGAAGAAGGAAGGGGGGACGTTTGGAGTGATGGTGTTTTGTCTTCCCAAGTAACCGTTACGCGTGATGGAGCCCTGCTTTCCTGGAGTTGGCTGAACACGTGCCTGCCGATGGAAAGCAGTGAATGAATTCCTTGTTTTGCTTTGCATGTGCACGCG